CGACAACCTCCCGCCCTCAAGAGACAGCGGTAGATAACTTCGAGAGAATCAGCACGATAGAAGAGAGAGTCTCGACGAAGAACGTGGAGGCGATCGATTTTACGAACAGAAGAACGACCACGCCGATGACCACCTTGAGTGACAAAAACGGACTAGTGAAAGTACCGACGATTACTTACGACGCGCCTTCTGGCAATAAAAAGGACGACACAGAGCTGGACAAAGAGGAGCTAGCAATCAATCACATAATTTCCATTCTGAATAACACGAAGCCAGGTTCGGGAACTACGATTCCAACTCCGAACTCGTCCATCCACAAGTGGGTCAGTATCGACGAGACCTCGAAACCATCCTTGGTTCGCATCTCCACGAGAGCTCCTCCCGTCCCCGGACCTACCACCGCTCAATCTTTCCCTTACACGTTTTACAAACCGGTACAATCGTCGAATTACTACAACTACGAGACTGTGCCCACACACTCCACGACATTCGCCTCATATTACACTTCCAACTCGCATTCATCCAGACCGTCGACGACTCTGTCGACTCTCGCCAGTGCCGGCACGTCCGATTATTCCGTAAAAACCACGACGAATCCTCCCGCGCCGACTGTGATAGTTCTGGGACCTCTTGGCACAGAGTTCGCCACTGAGACCAGCCAGAAAATAGCTACGAAGAAACCAGTGAGCGAAACTGTCGTCGGTTCTAGCACAACAGCTTTCAAACCCGCGACCGGATCGATAAGACCGAGTCCGCTTACAACGAGGAAGCCCAGCGTTTCGACCACTATAACTCACAATATCAGTACAGTGATCTCGAACGTTGCTACCAATAACGTGGTTTCGACAAGCTTCTTCAGCGTCAACGTGAAAGACGGGACTACGTCGAAACCGATGGTGAACAGCAGCTACAGCACACAATCTGTCGTCACTGAAACTAACAAACTCGAGGAAAATTCCGACGAGAAATTGTCGACGAGAAGACCCACGATTTGGACTACTCTTTCCTCGTGGTCCAGCAAGCCTAGTTTCCACTTGAGACCGTCTACTCTTTCTTCAACCTTTCCAAACGAAGACTTAACGCCTGTGAACACCGTGCTCTTCAAAGATCCTACCAGCTCGACGCTGATGGACACGAAAACAACGATTGTCCCGCCACACTGCGACGAGGAAACAGCCGCACCGGACGACCTGATCAACTTCCCTCCTGTCAGAAATCCGAATCTCAATATATCGGCGCCGATTTCGCAACAGGAGAAGCCAACTATCGTTGAGACGTTCAACAACACGGGTTACCCGGATATCGAGATAATAAGCGAGAACGATATTCCAACACCGACTTTCATCGACGACGACGTTTTCACGAATAAGGTCGACTCGTTCGTGAACAAGATCGTACAGTCTCTGCAAGGCAACTTTCAGGTATTTATCGCATTTAACTATTCTCTGGTTGTAGAATTATTGGTTGAAAGCTTGAAACGTGTCGTTAGAAACCAACTGCCCGCAATTTATCCAACGCAGGGAAGCCCGCAGTTTAGTTATCACGTACGAGTGAAAGGCTAATTTCACAAATTTTGCCTGCAGGATCTCAAAGAGATTGTATACAACCGTGTCAACGCGACACCGGCTGCAATATCCAACCAAGCGTCGACTGTGACGAGGAGGCCGGCCACCACGACGAAGAAACCGGTGCGAAAGCCCGCGACAACGACGAAACCGTCGTACGTCACGACGAAGAAACCCGCGACCACGAAGAGACCGATCAATCGTCCGACGACTTTAAAGCCATCGGTATCGGAGAAACCAGTCCGACCTTCGAAACCGAGACCAACCGTGGCGTCTGGCGCGACCACGAAGAGACCTCAGGTTACAACGAAACGCACCAGACCAACCAGAAGGCCTACTACAACGCTGGCTACGAGCACAGAAGTGATAGTCGCGGAAGAAGAAGAAACTAGTATCGCGAACGCAGTCGAAACTACCGCCAGTCCGCAGATTACGTCTTCGAGTGACTTTCGTTCTCGTAAGTGCTCTGTGTTTCACCTACGACCATTCATTGTCGCGCGATGATTCTTAATTTGAATGCTGGCGAATCGAAAATAATTCTTGCCCACGGTGTCAGAAGCATCCAATGACGGTCTTTTTTCTTTTTTATTGATTAGCTTGTATTTCGAATCTTGCGATACATCGACAAAGCAGGAAAGAAAAGAAAATTTTTGTCATTATCTTTCAACTCTTTCATTTTCACAGAATGTGGCATACGACCTTTGATTAAATCTGGAAGAATCGTCGGCGGCAAGGCGGCGACATTCGGCGAATGGCCGTGGCAAGTTTTAGTCCGAGAGGCCACTTGGTTGGGCCTTTTCACGAAAAACAAGTGTGGCGGTGTTCTGATCACGGACAAATACATCATCACTGCGGCTCATTGTCAGCCAGGGTATGTCCAATATCTACTTTTGGATTCTTTTATAGGATATTACGACACAGAAGCTTATTCGTACGTTAAGCTTATACGTATAAGTATGTATTTTATAGATTCTTAGCGACTTTGGTAGCCGTTTTCGGAGAATTCGATCTGTCTGGCGAGTTGGAAGCAAAACGAAGCGTAACGAGAAACGTTCGACGAGTGATCGTCAACAGAGGCTATAATCCAACGACGTTCGAAAGCGATTTGGCCCTCTTAGAACTCGAATCACCGATACAGTTCGACGTTCACATTGTCCCGATTTGTATGCCCGAGGATGGTATAGATTTTACGGGTAGAATGGCCACAGTCACTGGCTGGGGACGATTAAAATACAGTTAGTATCATTTCTCATACTTTCGTAGCTGATGATGACATCTCGTTTAAATACCGACTGATAATCTCAATTTGCAGATGGCGGCGTACCATCTATTCTACAAGAAGTTCAAGTGCCTATAATCAAGAATTCTGTCTGTCAAGAGATGTTCCAGACAGGTGGACATTCTAAACTGATTCTCGACAGTTTCCTCTGCGCTGGATATGCTAATGGACAAAAAGATTCTTGCGAGGTATTTTTAACATGTGTTCTCTCCTTATCAGAAGCGTTTAACTTGTCTAGAGCAAGTTAGACCGCGAATGTTCATGCATTTATAGATAATTTAATGATGCAAAAAGGGGACAGAACGTACATAAAATATATAAAATATAAGTAATCTTTGTCATCATAATTAAAGAAATGGGACCTAAGAAATTTCTTTCATCTGTTAAATATTATACTCTATTTATTTTATTTTTTTTTCTCTTTTTCAAGCATCTCTCTGTTTCAAGTTTCCCATAAATGCATAAGAATTCGCACACTGTTAATGAACGAAGGAAATCCTCGTATTCCAGCAAAAATCGTTCATTTTCTAATTTCACAGGGTGACAGTGGTGGTCCATTGGTGATGCAACGACCAGACGGAAGATGGTTTTTGGTAGGCACGGTGTCTCATGGAATAACATGCGCTGCACCGTATCTTCCAGGTGTTTACATGAGAACAACGTACTTCAAACCTTGGCTACACAGTATCACCGGAGTCTGAAGGCCAGCAAATAGTTTATTTCTTGGACAAGGTGACAGGCGCTGATAATTCCGTGCCACTTGTATAAATGTACAAAGGAAGATTAATTTATTTCCTTCGGAATAGATTGAAGAATATCGATCAAGGGACCAAAAAGACGTAAGGGACCTAAGCGAACACGAATGCATTTCGCATACCATTTTTAATAATACAATTAACTTTGAATGAAGTTCTGTCACTCGAACATTTCGATTTTCTTAACAAACAGTCATCAGAGTTGACAGGTTATATCGTCGACTTCCAATTGTTTCAATTTTTCAGCGACCTATCGTTAGAACTGTTATTTCGTGACGACTATTTCGAGAAAAAATTCTTTAGCATTTTGCACGAAAAATGATCGCGTATTTATGTGCATCCGACATTAAACGTGTTATGTGTTCCATGTATATATACGTGAGTACGTGGTTCCACGTGCTATATGTATACAATTACGAACTGCGAGCCTTATTTATTTCGTTGTTAGCTGTTATTTATTAAACTCATTTTTATACGAGATAAGAATGTTTTCTTAAATTACCCCTGTCACGCGCCAATGAGAAACGTACATTTGACTCGCAGAAAGGAAGAAAAAAAGTAGATAAAAGAACAGACGAAAAAGGGAAAAGAGAAATCAAGGGTAAAAATCACGGACCGTCTCGAAGCTTGAATCCAGCTGTAAAGAACTTCTATAATACTCGAACTTATATAATAATTAACAAAGCCTGCGTGTTAACGATGTACGTTCTTATCTTCAATCATCGTAAAATAAACTTCTTGGAAGTTCCTGCTACGTTGAACAGTAACACGCGACAGTTAACATTAATAAAATAATGCCACCACCCAGCGAAAATACTCTGGCGAACGCTACGCTTTAATTTACGCGACATGCGCAAATAATCAGACCGCCTTAATCTGGTAAAAAGTGAAGTACAAAACTGATTAATCAACACGGTGGCTACGTACACGGTACCACGGTTTAAAATCGTCCAACTTTTTAAGATCTTGATGTTTTACTTCGGCGTTCCCTCTAGAGAGAGAGATGAAACATGCAGAACCATGTGCAAACTATGTCGCTGCACGTTATAAATAACCCTTACGCATTCAACGTAAATTGCATACCTTGGCATTTGCAAAGACAGGTTGTGTACTTAGCACGAGTATGTTTACGGAAAACATATTCAGGAACAAGTGCGTGTCAGGAGTATTTGAACCGTGATCTACCAACATGAACATGACTCGCGTAAAATCTGAATGTTCTCGAGGGAGAGGGTTGTACTGTGTTTCATTTCCGCGGTCGCTTTAATCACATAACGTTGAAATAAAAATAACACGACGTTCGGGAGTAAAACGACATCGTGTTTCACTTGAGCGTGAAATGCACGTTCTTTGCTATTGCATATACAGTTATTATTCATGGGCCACCTATGAAACGAATATATGGAGCAGGATCGACCGCCCTGTGGAACATCAGGACATCCCGGATCAATACGACCAACAGAGATGGAAACAATGACGACCGCATGCGACGACAAAGAAAGAGCTAAACACCTACGCGAAAGTACGCCCAACGAATGGCGCTGCTGTACCCTAAGGTGGGATACAATTTTTATTTCATTTGAAATGAATGCAACTGTTGAGCCTCATAAGTTAAAATGTCACCCTCGTACGTCATAACGTTCTGCGCAATATCTTTTCATCACGAAAGAAGGATTTATGAGAACATTTTCGTATCGTGTTTCCGATTCTTCCGGAATAATCGCAAACGTAACGTATCCACGAGGCGATTAAATCCAATGTGATTCGAATTTACGAAGCAAACAGAATTTCCAGGAGAATTGAATGCAAACAGAACGTCGTGCCGTTGATTTAATCGTCGAAAATACGTTCTCATGCATCGAATACGTTCTTCAAACAGGAACTTCTCAAAATTGACAGATTGAAAATGTCGAGAAACTAGCGGAAGTCTTCCTGTTCCTTAAAAAAAAAGGCAGGCTGCAATCTGTAAATAGAGAAAATACGAAGTAAAAATCTGAATGAATAAAATGGCACCTGGATGGTACGCATAAAAACGCTCAGGTGTCGCGCTTGCGCGCATCTTTGCACGAGCTTGTACAAGGGAAACCGGAACAACGTAGGAGTATAGATTGCCAATGCAAGCGCGGCTCCCACTCAGTCCTCCAGCAAACTCCATTGAGGACTTGTTGATCCCCGAGAAGAAGCAGCTGATTCTTCCAGGTCCATCTGCCTAGAAACATCAATTAAGTTTAGCTACAGGGAAAAGCCTGTAAGTTCAAGTTCAAGTTTATTCTCGAATTTTTGCCTGGGAAGTAGAACATTTCTACTTCCACCCTGTTCAAGATCATCGACGACGTTTAAAAAAAAGTATCGAATACTCTGTAAAAACAGATTGTTTTAACTTGCACGAAAAGATTCTAGTACGTGTTAAAAAATTACCATTGTTTCTTTTTTGCAGTTTTTACCATTTTTAATGTTTTTTTTTCTCGACGAGAATTCAATTACAACATATGTTGTAACAGTTACAACGCTTTGGAGTCAAAAAAAACTTGATTCTTTACCTTGAATAAACTTTATTTTATAACACAGTGCTATATTTGATTTAAGCAATTATTAAAAAACTGGTTGAATTTCAGGAGTTCAAATAGCGGCATGAGGCAAAAAATGTACACGTGTGTTGCACTGGTAATCGTTGCCCTAACGAGCACGATGCACCTTGGTGTCGAGGCATGGGGTGGTCTCTTTAATCGTTTCAGCCCGGAGATGTTATCAAATCTTGGCTATGGTAGCCACGGTGATCACATGAGCAAAACAGGATTATACCAGGTATGAAGGAAGATTCTTCAATATCGAGCATGTCCTTATACACAGTAAACAACTGTTGCAACTTTGCCGCAGTACGACCGGTATACGATCGATATGTTATTTTCACGTGTAAGCGATTTTATATCGCAACTAGCTCTCTAAAATAAGAGTTACATTATTAAATTTGCTCTAACATTAATTATTAATTGAATCAACAAAATTTCGTTACGAACCTTCATTTAAAGAAAAGAAAAAAATCGGGAAATCAGCTGTCCTGAAGTTATCCAAATGCTAAGTCTGCATAACTTGTGTTGTAATAAAAATGTATTAACCTTGCAGTTCTCGAACTTTTATATCCAGATAGATCATACTTGTAACAAACAGAAAAAAAAAAGTATTATCAGTTACGTATTAAGTAATAACAATGAATTCCGATAATATAAATATGAATAATGACCACCGGTGGATAACTAGCGAATATACATTGTGCCAAGTATATGATCATTATTCTATAATAATCTTATCTTTTTTTCTAATCGCTAATAAGTGTGAATTAAATTCACATCTTCACCCCGAACGGCGGCATAACAGTGTGTTAGAAAAATATTTTTACGACAAATAAAAAAATCGGATCTGCTCTGTTCTTCTCGATAACACCATCGAATAATACTAATTTCCTATACTTCATTTCTTTCTTCAAGCGTCCGTTGGCTACTAGCTATGGATATTCTTACGACTCTTTAGAAGAGGTTGTACCATGTTACGAAAGAAGGTGTACGGCTAACGAACACTGTTGTTCGTCTTTCATTTGCGTAAACGTTGATGGGGGTAATTATCATTCCTGTCAAGTATACTCCAAGACGATGATCAAAATATACAATATTATCATATATAATTCCCATTGAATTATAGATGTTGGCCACTGCGTTTTCGAATTGGGGCAGAAGCAGGGTGAACTTTGCAGAAACGATAACGACTGTGAAACTGGTTTAATGTGTGCCGAAGTTGCCGGCAGCGAGACTCGTTCGTGTCAGCCGCCAGTGACTTCGAATAAATTGTACAGTAAGTATATATAAATATATAAAAGTCGATATATGCTATCGATGCGCCGATATCAGTAAATATGTGTCTCCTGACGTGACAGGAATTTAGAGATAATCGATAAAGGTCAATTCACAAGCAATTACGTCAAAAGAACAGGCTCTCTTGTGTAAAAATCATGTGTATATATATATATATATATATATATATATATATATATAT